GCCCTTCCAAGAGATAAGTTCCATGAAATAAATAAACCATGACTCCCAACAAAAGGTGTTTATTACTAACGCCAACATGATCCACTAGAGGCCAGAGTTGACAATCTCACTAATTTTTCCTTTAGTAATACGATTCCATAAGCAACACAGCCCTGAGAATGGTATGCTTGAACAGCATCAGGGCTGAGAGTATGTCTCAGCTAAAGGTAGGCCAACTAGGTCTCTAAGAAAGGAAATAACCTGCCAGAGCTCATGGAATTAGAGATAGAATCTAGAGCCCTTGGCCATACTCATGAGATGGGTAGAAGCTCATCTCAATTAGTAGTTAGTCAAAATATTTCTTTAAACTCATACTGAGGAATATTCATAATACTTTTTATATTTTCTCTAAACTATTACTGTTACAGAAAAATTATTGACAGTCGACTTAAACTATTAGTTACAAGGAAAAAGATGTTTCAGACCTACTGAGACATCCTAGTGTTTTGTAGTGTTTTTTTCTTTTTTCTTTTTCTTTTAATCCTAAAGGAAATGTTCAGGGACAAATAAATTAAACCACAAACAATATTTCAATTCATAGAACCTAACCAACCAGAAATCTCAACAACGCAAATGGTATTTTCTTTGGCATGCCACTTTTCAATGAAAAAGTGACAACAAAAGCAAAGTACATTTATACCAGAAATTTAAACATTCACAAATGCATTTAGTTAACACAACCTTATTTGTTTATTACAGTTTTATGCTCTACTATACCATCTACATGAAATTATCAACCATTATAGATTCAACCATGCTCCTTACAAAGTACTTTTATATACCTATACTTTGAGTCTCTTTGTAGCCCTTTGAGATAGGTATAGCAATTCTCATCAACATTTTACAAATAAAGAAATTAAGCTCTATAGGGTCTTATAATGTCACCAAGTAGTAAATGGCACACATACTATTAACTTTAAGTCCTGTATTCTTTCCATATTTATCATACTATACTTACTAAGACAAGATGCATATACACATACACTACACATACACATACACATACACATACATATACATATACATATACATATGCTGTTACATATATATGGATTTGCATTCTATATAATAACTTTCAAACTATTTCTAAAATGGAATTCAGGAAACTAACAAGACCCATCTATGGAACATTTTACTCTGTTGGTAAACTAAAATCCATATGAAGCAAACCCCAGAGGTCACCAGCTTCTTCAATGACACATGTGCTCTTTTTGTTAGCCTTATTGTCTTGAGCATCTTTGTGCTTCTGGGAATGTTCTAGGCACATGTGTCTTTTTCTTCTTTTTTGGCAGAAGTTTCAAAGCAAAGTCCCAAGTCTGTTTCCCAATTCCAAATTCTCAATTGCTGTGAGGATGTTTTTAGCACTTTCTAAAGCAACATTGTTCCATAGAACTTTCTGCAGTGCTGGAAATGTTTTATATCTGCACTGTCCAATAGCCATATATGGTTATTGAGAATTTAAATTATGACTAGTGTGATTAAGGAACTGAATTCTTAGTTACATGTGGCTAGTGATTACCATATGGAACAGAGTAGCTCTGGTTAATTTAAGATTCTGGTTCATAGGGCCCAGAACATCCCAGTAACAGCAGTCTTGCAAAATAACCTAGCACAATAGAAGTTATGTATTTAATTATGAGTTATGCTTTAATTGATTCTAGAAGGGTTTTGAAGCAGAATGTTGGTATGCACATTAAAAAGGCATATGGGAAACTTTAAGTAAAAGATAACAAATGGGGGGATATGTTGTGGTAATTATTAAGGAATAAAAGTAGAATAGTGTTATTTGAATTGAATTTTAATTTCTAAACTCTACATATTTGAGGCAGACTAGAACTGTCCAATTCAATATAAAATTTTTCTCTTTGCCAATGTAATTACTAGGGCTACAAAAATTCAATTAAAGAAAGTGAGATATTACTGTGTGCTGAAATAGAAGCAAAAAGAAATGAATAGGACATCAGGTTCTGCTGTATATGAGAGTGGACTAAAGCTCTAGGATCACCTCCAATGGAATTATCTACTTGACAGAATTGTGAAGATTCAATAAAATTACTTATGAAAGAACTTAGCATAATGCCTATCACACAGAAGCATTTGGTAGATATTAACACTTATAATGATTATTTATTTCTGCCTATATCTTTTAAAGACATCTTTTAAATCCCTATGAGAATATAGGAAGCTGCTTAAAGTAATTAATTTTTGAAAAATTATTTTATTGGGAATAGATCATAAAAGATTAAATAGAGACAACATAAAGGCATAAAATGCCAGACTGCCATCCCATTTATTAAATGCTGTCATAGGTAGAACTGTTAGAAGGAAAGTGGGTCAAATATCTCAGGTACATTGGGTCAGGCAACACTGGAATAGTGAGGCCAGAGGGGAAAGAATAGGAAGAAAAAGTAGCTAAGAGGGCTGATTGTATTTTAGATGTTTGTATTTGTGGCATATTTCTGAGTATAGTTCATTGATGGTGATGTTATTGTCAAAGATAATCAAGGGAGACATCATGGAAGAGTATTTGAGACATAAGGAGAATAGTGGAAAGGGTGCTGGCCCTGGATTCAAGTCAAGTAGGTTCCAATCCTTATATTCACATGATTTAGAGTCCCCAAATACCCCTTCTTGGAAAATTGTAGTATTGGATGACCTTAAGATTATTCCTGCCCTAAAACTCTGACTATGAAAATAGTCAGTGGGCTCTAGTCTTCCAGACTTCCTGAAGCTATCTATGCTGCTTTTCAGGCAAGCCTGCTGGTTAGTCCTCTGATTTGTTTTTGCAATCTTGAAGCTCAACTTGTGTGAACAGTGTTATCTCAAGCAGTATGCACAAAAGCAGTTGGAAGGGTGGGAGTGAGTGACAGTGGGTGGGTGAGCAGATTAAAGAGGCAAAGGTTGGAAGAGAGTAGTGTGTGTGAAAAACAGTCCTTTCTCCTTTGACATTCTCTTGCTATATTTCCTAATAATAGCTATCCAAAGCCAAATGCCAAAATGAAGTCATGAAAAATAATTTGGACTTTGGAGTTAAGCAGACCCAAATTTCAATCCAACTTGTGGATTTGAGATGCCCAACTTCAAGGTTTTTGTTTTGTTTTAAATCTCTGGGATATTTATGGTTAGCAGTTTAAATGAGATAATATTACCCAACAGATGTGTTCAATAAATATTCTCTTAATTTTACCTCTCTAAATTTGCTTCATTATTTCCCCATCTTACTCATAATATAAAACACTAGTCACAGCAATAAACACGCAGGGATGCTCAGAGACCTTATCTACAGGATGTAAACAGCCTGCAGTGGGGAGAGAGGGTACTGAACAGAGAAAAAAACCATAGCCCACAGCCTAGTCTCTCCGTTAATGCAGCTTCTTCCTTTGGGTAACCTCACAATTTTCTGGTTCCTCAAAGCCACAGAAATGATTATTGGAATAGCACTCCTAACTGCTTCTCCAACGCCACCAATAGAAAGATTCACTGAGCAGTGAAGGAAAGAGAAGAGGCAGCACGTATCTTATACTCATCGGAAGTTAGCTAAGCTGGACCCTCGAGAAACATCCGCTCCTTGCTCCTCTAACCGAGGGAAGCAAAGGGACCGTCTCTCTAAGTCGCTTGCTCCTCCTGACCCCTTTTATTTGGTTCTAACGCAGGGAAATACTGGCAAGCGGTGAGCCAGCCACTAGTTCTCTGGAGGCGTCAGCTCTCCGCCTCGGAGAACTTTCAGGACCGCGGACAGCGCCCACAAAGGCAGTGGGCTCTGAGGCCCAGGCTTCAGCCTGGGGCTATCCTGCCATAGGAGGGGCTGCAGGAGGGAAGAGGCCGGTTATCATTTTATGATTCTTCTCCAACTCTGGCCGGTGACTGGCTCCAGAGGTGGGAGAGAAACCCTTCCCCCAGAGCCGGTTCCTTTGCACCTCTCAGTTCAAGATCTCCAGGAAGCAAGCTTTGCACAGGTAGTGGGGTCAGGAGTGTCAGGAGCAGGCTTGCTGTTCCCGTTTCGCCCCCATTTTTCCTTGACCTCCCTTTCGCTTCTAGTCATTTGGGACTTCTATTTTATTTTTCAACCACAATATTAAATATCTACCTGAGAGGGTGGGAGGGTTCCGCGGGGAGGAGTTCGGGACTGCGTCCTGCGAGGCCACACTGCCCTACTCTGGCCCCCTGGATTCGTAAGAAACCGATGTGCTTGGAGATTTGGGAAGAGAGGAGGCTCTGACGGGGTCATAAGTGCTGGTAAGAATCCTTTCCCGGGGGCTGCCCTCTCCCTCCTCGCCCCACATTTCTCCCATCACGTTCTCCTCGCTGGCCGCCCTGCGCGTCACAGCTCCCAGGGGACAGATGTCCCCGGAGCGCACCGGCCTGCTCAGGGCACCCGGCTCCGCCGGAGTCCCTTTGAAGAGTTTGCTCGCAGGTAAAAGGGCAGACGTTGTCCCGCCCTCCCCGCGGGCTGCGGCGGAAAAGCGTCTCTTTTCCGTGGGCTCGTTCCGAGCCCGAGGACCGAGCTGCTGCGGGAGCTGGGCGTGCGCCAACACGGGAAGGAAAAGAGGGGCCCGGCCGGCGTCTGTGGAGCCTCGAGCGGCCCGGACGCTGCTGCTCGTGGCTCCCTCCTCTGCCTCTCTCCCTGGTGGCCGGGAGGCTGCATCTGCCCCAGCCCCGCCTGGCAGCTTTTTGGGGAGTCGGAGCCCCGCGTTCCCAGACGCTGGAAGCTGTCCGGGCCCCATTCCGGGCCAGAGACTGGGAGAGACCCCGACCCAGGTCCTTGTTCCTTCCAGGGGACCCCTTCCCCGGGTCTCAGCACTCCACCTCCTCGCCATGTTCCTGCTTCCTCCCTCCCTCCCGGTGGCTTGAGCTACCTGGCTCATTCAACCAGAGACATCATCATCCCATCTGCGGAGGTCCAGCCCGATGAAGGCGGTGCGCAGGGGCACAGACTGCGGCGCAGGGGGACTTGCACTCACCCGAGGGCTCGCGGAGATGGACTGGCTGCCGGACTGGCTGCCTGGACTGGTGGCTGGCGGTCCGCACTCACAGCCGGGCTCTCTCTCTCCTACTGTGATGCGGGGCGCTGGTGGCAAAGGAAGGCTGGAGGCAGCCTCGGCTGCTGAGCAGCTCCTCAATTATTCAGAGAGGCCCCCCCCCACCCTCCTCTGCCCGGGGCCTGCCTGTCATCTCTCTGGCTCTCCTGTCTCCGCCTTCCTGAAGTCACGTGAGCGGGCCACCCCCCCCCCCCCAATACACACACATTGCTGAGCCCAAGCTCCACCCCTCCACACCCCCACCATCTCTTTCACACACACACACACACACACACACACACACACACACACACACATCAAGCTATCTGCCATTCTCAACCCCTCCCTGGCCTACTGAGTCTCCAGAACATGGCTTTCAGTAGCTCAGGGGGCCAGAGATGGGAGCCTTTCTCTGCCTTGGGAAAGCAGGACCAGGCAAGCCTGTAGTTTTTGTTTTGTTGAGAAGGCATCTGTCAGCAGCCCCTCCTCTGCTGGACTTGGCCCTGAGGACAACTGGCCACTCACATCTGCTTCCTGCCCTCTGAAAGCATACCCCCTCCTCACCTGAGCTCTTGCTGCTCTTAAATTTCTTCCACTTCCCTCCCCCCTTGTATTATTGGAAAGAAAGGGTGGGAGAGATTGAATTTTTCTCTTCACCTAAAAAATAAATAAATAAATAAATAAATAAAAATTAAGACCTCCTCCTTCAAAGCTTCCCTAGGCCAAGTTTTTCTTTGGATTCTCAACATCTTATAAGTGGAAGAACCATGGATTTGAGATGTAAAGACCCACCAGGAATTCCAGACTATGTGAGCTTGGGTTATTTCATTTCCCTTAGCCTTTCTTTTTTTAAAGTTGGAAATGATCACCTCACAGGACTGTTATGAGAATTAGAAATAATAATGATCTTGAATTGCCTACTATAATGCTGGATACGTATTGGGGACTCAATAAATGAGAGTTCTCTCACCTCTGTTAAAATAAATTTCAGAAAATAAGAAGGTTGTGATTTGTGCCTGTGGAATAGAGGTATCTTCTGTAAATGTGGAGGGGTGGGAGTATCTGTGAAGTTAGTTGAGCAGATAACCAGTTGGAGTGGGGACAGGAAAGGCACAAGACTTATATTTCCCATTGGTTCTGTTAAGCTGAATATCCCAGAGCTATGTTATATGGTTAAAATATGACTAGATGGTAACAACCCAGTCACACGTTTGGTCTCATCAGAGAATGAATTAATATGCATTGAGTAGGCTGATTTGTATGGAAAGCACCTACATCAATTCTTGGCTCTTTGGTCCAAGCCCTTAAAAATATATGGGAGCTAATGAAATGTAACTCCCTACCCTCAGAAACAAATTCACTGGACTTGTGTTTGAGGAGAATACTGGCTGACTGATAACTCCTCCTTAGGATAGAGCAGTTCAAATCTACCTTTAAGCTGTGGGTTCTAGCTCAGAGTTGCTGGTTTGTTCCCAGAAAAAAATGACTGATCAGTGCCTGGACAATCTTTTGTTGTTGTTAATCCTCACCCGAAGATATCTTTCCTTTGATTTTTAGAGAGAGTGGAAAGGAAAGTCAGAGATACAGAGAGAGAAACAGCTCACGCATCGATTGGTTACCTCCTGCTTGGTACATGACCGGAATAAAAACTGGGACCCTTCTGTGGCTGATACTCTATCTACTGAGCCAAATTGGCTAGGGCAAGACAGTCCTGGTAAGACCACTTAGTTCAAGCTCATTACTGCCTTGGACCAGCATCCAGACCTGAAGTCTTGGCACATCCCCATAATTTAAACTTATGAGAATCTTGCAGGAGCAAGGTATGTCAGATCCAAAAAGCCATGAAACAGGGCAGGAAAGGCCTGTTGAGTTAAATGATAGAAATTTGGAGTCATCATTCAGGCTCTGCCAGTTACTTATTCTAAAATCTTTAGTAAATTGCTCAAACTTTCAGAGTCTCATCTTTAAAATGTGAATAGAATGTCTATCTGCCTTCTCCATGAGACAGTTGTAATGTTCAAATAAAATTATATAAGAGAAACCAGACTCATACATTAAGAGGTAAAGAGTAAACAAATGTAAGGTATTAATATTACGGACTAAAGATAACCCTAAATTTAGTCTAGTCCAGATGCATTTGGGCATGAAGGGATGAGATTTGTTGTGGATTTGGCAGATACTAAAATGTGGATGTATTTCTGTAAGTCTATGTGTTTTCCTGTAATTCAAAAGGTGCAGCATTGTGAATGCTGTATTTTGGTATTTTCACTCTCTTCTGTGATGAATTTCTAGATTAAATCTCATTTCCCCCCGGCCTTTCCATTTAGAACAGCACCAGGCACAACCACAGTGGCTGTGAGTATTTAATTATCTGAGATAAGTTTGTGCCTATATTAGGAGAGCAAATTTGAGACTTTTCTGCCTCTGGTAGGTAAAATTGATTTGGGTTGCAAATTCAACATAGGTTTGATTTCAAGAAAAATATTTAGCATCAAAGAACAATTCCTGATTACTCACCAGTACCTTGAATGGTGAAATGAGTCTCTAGTCCACTGCCCATACACCCAGTAAACATTGCATACAAACCAGGTGCCATCTGCTTCCTCACCCTAAAGTAGATGCCAGTCCAATTTCCTTGTTTACTTCATTTTAATGGTCTTTAGAATGTTTCAACTTAGATCAGTTTATATTTAGGGAGACCAAAACACCAGAAAGTACCAGTCCATGCTTCTATACATATATCACTTAAAAATTTTTCCAAATGCTGCCTCTGACTCCTACCCACCTCTGTGCTGTCATGCAGAAACATGAGAAATGAAAAAGTAAGAATGAAATAATTTAATTTTGCTTCAAGAAAATAGTGCATAAACGAATGAGTATAAATTTCAGAAAATTTTGGACAGTTCCACCAGAAATTACTCTGAGACGCTGAATAATTTTTTTTTCCAAATTAGTTTTGAATGCCCAAGTCAACTTTAGCCAGCAAAGGGCAGGAAAGAGAGCTTGGGGAACAGATCTTGCATGGATTACAATAGAAAGTTATACCTTAATAATGGTTTCTTGATAAGGTTTCCCTTGAGTCCTTCTCAGCTACTTATAAGCTCTTATCTTTTATCTGTTGATTGTTACCTCTATAAGCCACTATGGACACTTTTCAGCTGTTGGTAGAGCATTCATGAACCAATGAATACACATGCTGTAGATAAAATGTAGTTGAACATTTAGGGACACACATAGGAGCAACAACTGATGAATATCTCAGTTTTGGGATTAAGCAGTGGTACCACAGAGTAACTGCTAGTTAGATCTTGAAAGTACACATCTCTGTTTTCTTACCCCAGCAATTGGAATATAGAGTTTCGATTCATTTATTCACCAGGTTCCAGACTTGAGAAACAGCCATAAACAATACAGAAATAGTTCCTGCTCTCCTTGAGTTTACAGACTAGTGGAGTGAGTCAGACCCTAAAACAGGTAAACAAAGAACTGGGGGAAAGTACCACAATCAAAACAAAACAGAGTGATGCAATAAGAGGTGAAGGGGCATCACTTTCCCTGAGTGGCAGAGAACTGACAAAAGCAAGTGTAGGGCCCAGACACAAAAGTTGTTATCTCCAAGGAAGGAGCAATGACCTTTTTTTTTTTTTTTTTTTTTTTTTTTTTTTTTTTTTTTAAAGACCTTTTGCCAAAAGTCTGTCATTAGCAGGGTAATCACTAAAAATCCTTCATGATTGACTTGCTTGGATGGATTATGGTTAAGTCACAAGGGTATTGGCCAGATGCCTTAGAAACCTGTTTTCATCTCATGATTCATGATAATGAGTACTTGCCAATTTCTTCTAGAAGAATTCTTAGCTCATTAATGCACCTGGCTTTTGCCTCTGAGCAGATTCAAAAGCTAAGAAACCAATGACAATGCATCAGCCTGGCCAGAGGCTGATCCAGAAATCTCCAAAGGGGGAGGTGATTCTGAGCAGCAGGAGAAGATACAGAACCATATCCTAGCATATCATAGGCACACAATAAAGATATATTGAATAAATAACCTGCTGCTAGGATTCTACTAGTTTATAGGCTAAGTTATCTATGAGTAATTATTCTTTGACTAAATTCCAAGAGAAAGAAAGGGGATGCTCACCTGAGCATGCTCATTTTATTTTTCCCAAATTTACAAACAGATATAACAACTCACCCCTCCACTCCTACCCCCTCTCCCTGCCACCACACACATACATCCCATGCAAAATGAATAAAGGTGCTTAATGATAAAGTTGTGGAGAGAAGCCTGTAGTGTTCCAGGACATGGAAGTTCCAGGACATGGAAGGAAACATTAAAGCAATGTGTTTATTATGTTTTTCATTCTCCTTATTAAAAAAAGAAAATTAGCAACTGTTAGAGAGGTATTAAGACACATTGGCATCAAACTGAGACTTTCTCCATGGAGTAATCAGACAGATTGAAAGATAAGTGGGAAAGGAACAACTTCCTAACTCTGTAATTATAGGCCTTTTAGTGCTGAGAACTAGTACCATCAAAATCAGAATTTCTCCTAACTTTAATGTGCATAGAAATCACCCGGGGATCTTGTTAGAAATGTAGAATTGGATTCAGTAAGTCTGGGAGGGACTCAAAGATTTACATTTTTAACACAATCTCAGTGCTGCTGGTGTGCTGCTGGTTCTTGGGCCAGTCTTTGAGTAGCAAGTATCTAAAGTACCAGTGATGCTACGAATCCCAAATTTTGGGATATACTAACTTATTTTATAGATGAGAAAAGTGAGGACTTGGGGGTTGTGTGAATAACCTGAGGTACTACAATTAGTTGGTAGATGAGTCAGGGCTAAAACTCATTTCAAAGGCTTCCTGTCCCTCAGTTCAGTGCTCTTTCCCAAAAAAAGCTGAAGGTCACTGACTTGTTTCTAGGGCCAAACAAATAAACAAAACAAACAACTGACCACCCTCCCCCCCCCCCAAAAAAAAGAAACAAAATATTTTCAAGAATCTGTGACATGAAAGCCAAGGTTTGAATTGCTTTGCCCAGATTCTTAGGAGCTTAAGATAACAAACTGTGGGTCACATCATGTCTCCACTGTAGGTCACTATAGGCTCTGCTCTGTGTAGTCACTCTATATCATTTTATTATTCCTCATGTCAATATGATGCTTCAGAGTTCACCTTGGCAGGAGGGACCAAACCTGGAAAACCTTGCACCAGCAACT